GCCACCACACCCAGTCTCAATCCCAGTCTCAGCGCATCCTGGGGGTGAGGCCAACACAGTATGCTGAGGATCGAACCCCTGCCACTGTGCTCTGCCTGAGCAGGTGCTTTAGTCCACTGAGCTACCTGGCCAGCCATACGATAGTAATTATGCAAGTAAATAATTATGTGTTTTTTTAAAATCTGAAATTATATTGATCCAAAAGAGCAATGAAATTTTTTTCATGTGGCTGGCTCAGCGTGCCCTGGGGGTGGGGCTGGCTGGCATGTGGTGCTGGGGATTGAACTGAGGTCCCTGCAGTTGCTTAAGCTTGCCTAAGCAGGCACTTTAGACTGCTGAGCTATCTCACCAGCCCTTTTATTCATTTTTTTGAAATTTTATTGATAAAAGAGTTTAATTATACTTGCTCTAAAGTAAGGTGTAATGTTACAGGCATCAAAAATCCTAAATGATTATGAACTGAGAAAGAAAACAAATAGTCCTACGCTTGCAACAGGCAGAGAATAAGTCAGGAGACTTCAACAGTAAGGATTCGAAAGGCTGAGCGAAGCCCTTTAAGACAACTGTGCTCCCCAGAATGTTCAAAGAAACGTTCTTGCTGCTCAGACAGTGTGTGTGAAGTGGAGGGCGATGCTATTTGGGGTCTGCCCTTCAGAGGCTGCTTCCTAAACTCTTATTTCTTGCTCAAAATGATGTATGTGCAAACAAAACCCCAAAACACAGCAGTATCTGTTTCTGGAGACCAGGCTTTTCCGTTTCCTGGAGTTGGGGAATGAGGGACTGAGAGTTTTCTCTAGCCTTAAAATTCTCTATCTTGTTACTGTAAAAAAGCTGATTTCAAATCCCCGTGATCCACACAGGATCTACTTAAGTGCGTGTACAGTTTTATCTTCATTTCTTACCAAAGGTTGTGTTTTGGAGCCAGTGAGAAATTAAGTATAGGACTGGTGACCAATTTTAGCAGAAATAGGTGCTGTTAGTACTTATTAACTGCAAAAACCTACATATGTAACAGAATTAATTAGCTCTTCCCCCTTGGGAAGTGTGTGTGTGTGTGTGTGTGTGTGTGTGCGCGCGCGCGTGTGCGCGGGCATGCGTGTGCATGCGCACGCTCCTATAATCAAATGGCACAGCTTAAATAGCAGAGGCCAGCAAAGGGTGACAGCTGGCTCTGGTCATATGTCAGGAACCCTGGGTAGAAAAGCATGAAGAACTACCTAGTGTATCGGTTCGTCTTTTTAAATACACAAAAAGCAAACAAACTAAAAAGAGAGGGCCCTGCAAGGACAAATGTCCATACAGCATCACGATTTAGATGAAGGACAGGCTTAACCCTCGGTAGCTAGAATTCAAAGGGAAAAAGGGAGCACAATTTTCCCCACAAAATATATGCCTTGCACCTGACAGTATGGTCAAGAAAACTGATGTGACTTTCCTTTTTAAATGCAAAACACTTTTTTCCCCTTGTTTTGCTACACAGTATATTTCAATGAAACCTAGAATGTTTAAGTCCTGAATGTTTGCTTTTGAAATTATCATTCTTTCAGACTTAGACGCCAGAAAGTTTTCTTAGGAGATTAGCTCTCCATAGCATTTGGCCTTAGTTGGGGTCTGGGTAGGAAGGGCAGGGAAAGGTGTTTCTCATCCGAGATTAGGCACACAGTCAAAGGAGACAACAGCAGCTATTAGTGTTTTTATGCCAACTGTGTTATCATCTTCTGCCACCCCAATTCCCAGTCTCAGAATGAGTTACTCTTATTGTAGCTGATTTGGAATGCATTTTCAAGATTTCTAGTATTAGGAAATGGAGAGAAAAAGGCCATAAGATTTTGCGGGGAGAGGAGGCCTGGATGTTTTCCTCATAGCAGAAACTGATCAAAAGATAGAGATAATAAGTCTTTCCTAACCTCACATCTTTTATACCCTGTATGCAGATCTCTCAGGAAGATCTAGCCCAAAAGCATTCCTGTCTGGCAGTGGGGAGTATATGGGCGTGTGTGCAGAGACCCACGCAAAGTGGTGGGGAAATATACAAGCTAGGTACTTTCCAAGGGTGGATGAAGTAGAGAACAGGCAGTATTTCCTGAACTTTCATTTGAAATAGTATCAGACTATTAAGGTATTACAACAATGCTGAATTTTTCTTTAAATATTCCCCAAGAAAACAGCAAAGAGCAAAGGGTTGATATTCTATCAAGCAGAAGTGTGATTTATGTGTATGTGTGTGTATAAATAGGTCAGTGTCCTTCCAGGCCAGGATGGAGATGAGCCCTCTGAGTCTACCGGGGCTGAAGGCTTGGCCGCCACTACCGCCTCCAAAGTTGTCCCCACTCTTGTGCCATCCCTTAGCACCTCTGGGGATATGGGAACTGGAACTCTAAATCCTTTTTGGACATCAGAGATGGAAAACTTGGTGCACAAAGGTAAGAAATTTCTTCTAACCTGGATGTCCCATGTAAGGAAGGCCTAGTAAGGATGGTCTCTTAAATCTCATCCACTACGGCTGTGAACAGTGAAGACAAAAGCTATTTTCCAGCAAAATAATCCAATATAGTGCAGTAGTCCGCAATAGTAGTGGATTATCCATAGGACCGGCAAGAAGTTGTTGACTTGAGTCCTTTACAGCTCAGTGTATTAATATGGCCTTATTTTTCATACCTTGTTATTATACTTCTCTGCTGGATGGTTAAGACCAAGATAAAGTAAGACCTATATAACAAGAAATGTAACTTTTGTATCTGACAAGGTCAGTCAAATCCCCTCAGGATTTACCCTGAAACCCTGTACTGCAGTTTGCAGATTCTTTGTCAGTGTCAGCCATGTGAATGAGTCACAGCCATTGCTTGACCAATTTGCTCTCTGAGAAAGCCCCAGAGAATGTTTTCTCTCCATGTGGCTCTCCTTAGGCACACTATCATTGATTACTTTTCTCTGTGGCCCCTTTTGCTGAATTCACTCACCTACAATATTTAAATGGCAAAGAAATACCCATCTCTGACAAAACTAAACAAAAAAAGGGGATACAAATGAAGGCCCATTTTGTATCTGTATATACAAAATACTTAGGACAGATATACAGCTACTTTCTCTTCATTCAATGAGAAGAAATTTTGTACTAATAGTGTTTAGACAGGATATCGTGTCTGCATCTTGTACTATGAATAACTACTATAAAGACAATAAGCGATGTATTAATTATTGAAACTGTCCTATTAATCAGTTTTGAAACTGTCTCATTGCTATTTGTTTCTCAATGAAATTAATAAAAAAAGAAAAAAAAGTATTTTTCACCGACTTGTGTGTAGAATCTAAAACTGGCTGTTTTTAGAATAAATTTGATAATATTTAGAATTCTTATTTTTATTTGAATACCTTTAGAGAAGATTGTGTTGTCCCATTTGCCATAGTCCCAGCTCTTTCATACTGTCTTACACACGCCCTTCATTTGAGGATATGAAAAAAGAAAAAGCTGAAATTTACTTCCTGCTTCCATTAATGTGTTTTCCATGGAGCTAGAAAAGACATCATTATATACATATATTTTGCAAGACATATAAAAGAATTAATATCTATGTGCATAAATGTGCCATAACTTAGTCATTTTGTTTGTTTTAAGAACAGAAGTAATAAAAGTCTGTTCCTTTCCATTTTGTCTAAAGAGGCTTTGTAGGAGATGTAGATTTAGAGGTTAGTTTTTAGGAAATGATTAATCATTATCAATCATAGCGGATACTGGTAATTTCAGTAGATATTGATGTTTAACATAATCATTGATAAGTGATTCGGGATATACTTTTGATCAATGGAGAAAAGGTTGGCTTTTCTACAGAGAAATAAAGCTTATGACATATCAGCTATCTCACAAATAACAGCCCTAGATAGCAATTATCTATTTGGTCTTTTGTTCTGAAAATTTTCATGTTGGAATCTTCCTTTCATGTATGAAATAGGAATCAAGTCAATAGGGCATACTGTCCTATAAAAATGGATTTAATAAATGAGAAACTTGGTGGTGAAAGGAACCTTATTAGTACAGTTTAGCTCTATTTTGTTTTCTTACACTAGGTGCATTTCTGGAATTTATTTATAAACTGATATTACGAGTTATATCACATTTTCAATGTCCTATAAGAGCTGTCCTTTAATAAAGAATTGTGGTGGGATAGCTCAGTGGTCTAAGTGATTGCCTGGCAAGCTCAAGGACTGGGTTTGATCCCTGCTACTGCATACTGCATTGGCCTGTGCTGTGCTAGCCACTGAAACCAGGCTTGGTGGTGCACATCTATAGTCCTAGCCCTGGGGAGGCTGAGACAGGAGGATCACTATGAGTCCAAGCTATGAAGTAAGACCCTGTACCAAAGGTGTAAATAAATTTTTAAACAATTTTTTAAAAAGTAATTGTGATATAGAGGCTCATTTTACTTTTTCAGTAACCTGAAAGGTTTTCCTCTTTCGTTAGCCACACTGTGATTATAGTGGTATTCTCCAGGACTAAGCTGAAGGGAATGTGTTCCAGAGGCTGAGGTCTGTCCTTCCACCTCTTAAGTTGATTTTAAATAAAATTCAAAGTAAATGAAAGCAGTCCTATCTTTCTTCTGTCAGTTAATCCCCACAAAAAGTATTAGTCAATGAAGTTTTATAATGCTTTCTGGGAAATGTATATTTTTAATGATATTTCATAAAAATAAAAAGATTTTTGTTTCCAAAGGAATAAATATCTAGCAATAGAGTTTCAGGTGGTGGGCAGAACATTTTGAGTATTGTTGAATTCTTTCACCAATTTTTTTCAATTGATCTGTCAGTGTGCATAGGGAATAACTTACTTAACTTGGTAGGATTGTTGTATTTCATTACTTCAGTACAAGGCAAGCCCTAGTGATACTGTCCATCTTTTCCTCATCCTAGATCAGAGGTGTTTGGAATCCCTGAAGCCTGGGAACTGCGCCGACTATGTGGTTCGATGGTATTATGACAGACAGGTCAACTCCTGTGCCCGCTTTTGGTTCAGTGGCTGTAATGGCTCAGGAAATCGCTTCAACAGTGAAAAGGAATGTCAAGACATCTGCATGAAAGGATGAGCCAATGAACTTTCCTGTCTCTATGAAAAGTCTGGAAAGCACACAATACGAATGAAGCCACATGTTGGAGCATATATTAAGTATTTATAATTTATAAGTGTCATTAAAACTTCATGCCCACCCCAGGGTGTAGACTTATTTACTGCTTAAACAGATTAGAAAGCTAGGAACATGACAATTTCAGTAGCTTATTAACTGTCACCCAACTAAAAGGTGGTGGAGCTGAGCATTTGGACTAAGGAGTATTTAACTTCAGTGTCCAGCTCCACTCTGCTGGCTCAGTGTGATTCTCATGCCTGTTATTTCCTGTTAGTTGTGTTCTGTTGGATCAAACCCCACCCTGCCCTCCTCTAACGCTCATGCCCTCTACCCTGTCAGTAATGAATGGTAAGTGGTGGAGCAAGACTTAGGTTTGAAAACTGAAAGGTCATGTCCATACATGAATGCTGAGGTAGGAGTGGGGGTAGCGAGGTGGATGTTTGCCACAATTGCCCTACAAGTGACAGTACCAAGCTGACTCAAAATTACTTAAGTCAAATGCATTTTAAACTGCCCCTTTCCCTCTTCCAGTATGTTTGGTAACAAAACCATTATTGTGTGATTAAACTTTATATTTAAAAAAACAACTTTTATGTCCTTCCTTTGAAATATGTGAATGTGACATCTCAGTTTGTTGAAGATATAATCAGAAGCACTTGCCAGCCAAGAGCCATGTAAATCCCACATCCCTTCTTGAGCAATGTATTTTAAAGGTAGAAATTACACTGAAAAACAAGTCACTGAATGGAAAAGAGCGATGGAGAATTATGGAGGACTGGGTCTGTCATTTTATAATAATTTTGTGATATTGTTCTGAGAAGACTCTGAGGCCTGAGCCGAGCTCAGGCAGGGTTTGTAGAGACCATGTCACAGCACTGCCTTCTGGACTTGTGGCTCTCGTTCAAGTTCAACCCTTCAAAAAAAAAAAATGCTTTTATGGGGCTGGTGGGATAACTCAGTTGTCTAAAGCGCCTGCTTGGCCAAAGTCAGTTAGGCACAAGGGACCACTGTTCGATCCCCAGCACCACATGTCGCACCAGACTCACCCTTAGATAGGAATCACGGCAAAACAATATTATAACTTCATGGTGAAATTAAATTTTTGTTCTGTAATATTTAACACTACAAAAGAATGCATGTAACAGGATTGTATTTTAGAATCCTGAAGAATGCCAGTGAACTCTTTGCCTAGAGAATGAACCGAGCATTACTGACTGAAGTGCAGCTCCTTTGCGGCCTCTTCCGCCACGATGCTGCCCCAGGCCCGGGTCTTCCTAACCTGCACTGCGCTGATTTGGTTCTCACATGTAACTTCCATGTAGGAGCACGGTTAATTCCTATGAGTCACTAAACCACAGAGATTTGGTCTTGTTTCTTTCGGCGCTCTGTAAACATGGTACTTTACTCTAGTATCCTGCAACTTGCTGTTTTTGTTCAGTCTCCCACATAGGAACGTATTTAGTTAGCTTTGGAGCTTTAGAAAATTTCTTTCATAATTTGCTAGATTATTAAATTACTATTCATATGTATTTACTTTTATAATTGTATAGTCTTTGTGTGAATATACACGATATATTTAGTCATTACCATGATAGGCATCATTTATTTTTTTTTACTGTTTGCCAGTGTTGTGATGAATGCTTTATTCATAAATCTGGGCATGCATTCTTGTGTCTTTCTAGGGTACACCCCTAAAAATAACTTCTGGGTTGCAGGGTATGTAAATATTTAAAACTAGTAAAGAGTACATATACTGATTTTTCCCCCAAGTATTCAAACGAACTTATAAATTTTCACCAGTTGTGCATAAGAGTTACCATTGCTTGATATTCTATTCTGTACTTCGTGTTATCATACTTCTTAATTTTGCTGAAACAAGTATAAAATGATGTCTTGTTTTAGTGTAGCACTCTCTGGTGACAGCTTACCATGCTTATCTCCATCTGAGCTAATGCCTCTATGAAATACCTGTTTATAACTGCAGAAGACTTTTTTATTTTGATATTTTCCTTATTGAATCCTTGGAGTTCTAATATATTATAGAGTCCAACTCTTTGCTTTGTATTTATGTTTCTAGTGTCATTACAATGCATCCTTTTACCTTCCCACTCTGTCCGTTCTCCTTCCCTCCTGTCCTTTCTTTTAAACCGTCTTAATTTAATTTTTTTAATCTGTTATTTATTTGGTACAGGGTCTCACAGGTGAGCACAGTCCACTTGCAGGCACCTCGGATTCTGGATTCTCAGTACAGTGTTTTGCATAGTCCAAGGTTCCAGTGTACTTGCTTTCCTCCAGAGAACTCTGAACCTTTAGTAAGCTCTTGCTGCTTTCTCTGGGGTCATGATTTATCGGACAACATCCCTGCAGCAAATACTTGGGGGTGTCTGAACCCAGCTTCTGGTGATTTTTGCTGTAGTTTCTCCCCCAAACTAGACCCCAAGAAGAACATAGCAAACATGGGGAAGGCCCCAGTGATAGGGCAGCCATACACCTGCAGTCCTGTGATCTGAGACGCCATCTCTAAAGAGTCTTTTGGAAGCAGCCAATGGTTCCTGAATAGTTGGGGGGCTGTCCAGGTACGCTTTCTGGCCCTACTCGCATTCGGACCTCAAGCAGGCAGGCAGGAGTTACTTCTAATTCTTGGGCCTTTTGTTTTACTCAAGCTTTCAGTTGATTGGATGAGGACCACACTCAGACACAAGCAAAATGACATCTCATTATAGATCCATGTACCACGAGACTCAATCAAGATGACACATAAATTAATTATTACTCATATTTATCAATGGGTAGAATTTCCAAGGTCCTATCTTAATTCTATTTAACTTTTGTTTCGCTGGTGTCAGGAAACCCTTGGCTTTGTGCATGTTAAACATGTGCTCCATCCCCACTACATCCCCAGTCGGTCTGTTTAACCACCTCAAGAACTGCCAGAGCGAGCACCAGCGCCAGTGCCAGCGCCAGCGAGCTCGGCCCAGGCCCCTCTCCGCCGCCGTCATGGGCTGCACGTTGAGCGCCGAGGACAAGGCGGTGGTGGAGCGGAGTAAGATGATCGACCGCAACTTGTGGGAGGACGGGGAGAAAGCGGCCAAAGAAGTGAAGTTGCTCCTGCTGGGTGCTGGAGAATCGGGTAAAAGTACCATTGTGAAACAGATGCAAATCATTCATGAAGATGGCTATTCAGAGGAAGAATGTAAACAGTATAAAGTAGTTGTCTACAGTAATACTATACAGTCCATCATTGCAATCATTAGAGCCATGGGACAGCTAAAGATTGATTTTGGGGAGCCTGCCAGAGCAGATGATGCT